TTAATTGAATACACAAAGCATATAAATGATTAAACTTCAACACTTAAGAGAATTTTAAAAATTTTTCTTTCCAAAGACTCATCACAGCATATTTGAAAATGATATATGCAAACACACGAGTTTTAATTGATTCAACAACTAATGTAATCGATTCAAATTAGTTGTTTTACCACAATTCAAAACCATAAGTTGTCTAATGACCTTAGTTAATCACTACAACATTGTAATCGATTTTGTCATTCAGATATGCTTTTTTTACATGTGGTATTCATAACACAGAATCATACATTATGCATACACAGATATAATCACATCATAAACACGATAGTATGCAGTCACATTAGTATGTTCAACATATGCATTAATCAAACATTTTATGCAATTTCAAATCAGCATATGCATTGATATAACACACAGAAACTCCTTTCTGTTATGAGTTGACAACATTCATGTGTTGTTATTATCAGTGTGTTGTCATCATCAAAAACCAACATAACAGGAATTGGGTTCAGCTATCACAAGTGCTCCCCCTATCAACATAATCTTTCAAAAACACTTTGTTGTTTTAGATTCATAAATAAATTCAAACACTCATAAGTTTAACTCATTCGAGTTAAACATTCTACTCATTTGGACTAATGTTGATACGAGGAGTGGTGAAACTCGTTTAACCAATTGGTTAGCTAGTAAACCAAGAAATGTTAAACTCATACGTAATCTTTGTGATTAGTAGAACCCCTTAAAGAATTTTACGGAAAAAATTAAACATAACATAGTTTGGAACGAGCTAGTATAAAAACGAAGTGTACTTTAGTGTTTTTATTTTTAAAAGTTTTCCTTTCAACACTCTTTGTTAACTTAAGTATTTAAGTATTGTTAAGGCCATATAATAATTTAAATCTCTTTTTCTAATGTGTTTCACTAAATAAGCTTAAAATATTCAAATAAAAATGTTCATTCTTTATACTTCACTCTCCATTCATTTTCAACCTAAAATATCAAACAAAGTGTAATATACAGTTTATTTATCAACTATTCAAGTTTTATTTTATCAACAAGTAAAAGCATATCTAATTGAAGTACAACAACAAATATAAATTAGTTTATCAAATTTTTGAACGACAGACAACCAAATCACCGTTTTAATCTGATAACTCTCATGTTAATATATTTTTATGTTTCAAAACACAACAATCAAGAAAATTCACATAAATATAATATCTACAAATTAAGTCACATCCATCTAGTTCAAACTTTATACTTTCTAAGATACTATCAAATTTTAATCCATAGACACTAAGAAGAACTTAAAATCTTCAAAAAGTTATACAGATTTCTCAAAATTCTAAACAAAAGTTGAAGAAAATATATTTTAAAAATGTTATTTTAATAAAATATATATAGTTTGCATAAGTATTGTTTTATGTATACGTATTATTAATTTTCCTAATAAAACATTTAAATTTAAATATAAAAAAACTAAAATCATATATTTTTAAAAATCGAAAGTGAGTTCATCAATTTAAAGTTTTATAATTTAAAACAAGTTTAAAATAATTCAAGAATAAAAAACCTGTTCCTTTCTTGATCAAACATTCCAAATACTTTGTCTTTGTAAATATCCAAATCATAAAAAATGGTGCTAAAAGGAAGATTCCCACCGTCCACCTTCTTGTATTCAACACGTGGTTCACACCTCATTCTCAAATATTTAACATCACATTCTTCAACGTTCATAAACAGTCCAAGTTCTTTAATTTTCTCACACCTTCATTTTCACCTCCCGACAACAATGGCTTCATTGACTCCTGCAAGCTCTTTCTGTAGCTACCGCAAGTTTCCCTCCAAAGCCAACAATGGTAGAAGCAGCTTTTCCTCTTTCCCTCGCATTATGTTCTGTCAGAAGCACCACGATGATGTTCCCACCGACCAAATCCACCGAAGGTTCTTCACTCTCTCGCTTTTCTTACTCTTTTCTTTTGATTGGTCATAACCATCTTATGAAATTTATTCACATTCAATTTTGCTTTTCTATATTGAAGAGAAATCATTTTGAGAAGCAGTGAAATGGCGACCATTGGTGCTATCTTCAACTTCAGGTACCTCTCCTCTGTTTTGGGAGAAGTTTCAATTTTTTTAATGTAAATTTAATCCAGGATTTGATTTTGTTAATGGGTGTTGAGACCCTTTTGGTTTTCAGTTTTGGTTTTGCTTTATGCTGGAAATGGGTGGTCGTTAAAAAGTAGAATTTGGTATGGGTTGTGTGTTTTGGTGGCGGTCTCTATCAGATATCTATATGTTCTTCTGTTCAGTTAGTTGTTTACTGATTTGTTTCTTATGCTGTTGTTGTGTTTTAGTGTCCCTCCTCTGTGTATATAAGTCCTCTGCTGGACTGAGTTTTTATCAAGTCTTATTTAATCAAATAAAACTGTTTTCTTCTTCTTTCATGATGGTAGTATGGAATCAGCAGAAATCGTCCTTCTCCTTCTGTGATTAACACTCTGATTTGATTTATCTAAAACAGTGGCAAAAAACCTGATTATCTTGGAGTGCAGAAAAACCCACCAGCATTAGCTCTGTGTCCAGCAACTAAGAATTGTGTATCAACCTCTGAGAATATCAGTGATCGCACACATTATGCTCCTCCTTGGTAAAACTCCTCTTTTCCTCATTTTAATTTTAGTTTTGGTTTTATGGGATTCTATGAATAAGTGAAGTAAATGCAATGTTTTATTTGTTTACTGATTATGTTCTCATAACGAGAGTAATTATTTATGTATGTGTTACCAGGATTAAAAAAATATGGTTAAATTATTTTCATAAAGTTCTAACCTATTTTCACAACCTATGAAAATCTTGTCGAAATAATGAAAACAACTTATAAAGATATCATAAGTTATTTTAAATACCATGACTTGCAAAAGTACTTATAAGTCTAACAAAGTCTTTTCAAACATGTTGAAAGTTGAAGTATTTTCATTACGTTGTTCTTGAGTCTTCGGGTAAGTATCAAGTGGTGTCAAATTTAGGTATTGAGGAGAATCTGGTAAACCAAATTTAGGAGATAACTTGTGAAGGTTTTTTTATTTATTTTTTGGATTTAGTTCAAAAGGATGTTATGGAATATTTGTGAGAATCAAGTTGCAATAGGAAAGTGCACTTTGAACAATTTATCACAATTTAAACCACCTGAAAATTGTGCAACTGGCGGCTTTGGACTATTGACTGTTAAACAATGTTTACTTGACAGAAGAATTGGATTACTGGTCACACAAATATTGGCCGGTGAAGTTGTACAATCTTTACTTTTACTATTTATTTGACAAAAGAAACTTTTCTCTAGCTTGGTCTTTGTATTATTGAGTATGGACCCACCAAATTCCTAACTTTATTATTGGAGATAGATGAATCATGATGTCACTTTGTTTTAGTTTGTTTCCTTCTTTTTCAGGAACTATAATCCTGAAGGCAGGAAAAATCCTGTGAGCAGAGAGGAAGCCATGGAGGAACTGATAGACGTGGTAAAAAAAATCTAGCTGAACTGAAGCATTGAATTATATCACTGGATTGCAATTGTTCTTTCCCTTCCCTCACTCTGTCAACATTGATTATAATTTATAAAAATTATCAGACTAGGGTTAGTAGTACACTTTGCAACACAGTCTTTCTATTGCAATTTCTTTTCTGTTATTGGTTAAAATTTATTGAAAATTATAGTCACAAAAGAAACTTTAGGAGGGTAACCTACATAATTGGGTGGCTTTTAATAAATTTTTACTAATAATGAAGAGTTATTTAAAAGAGCGTTCAAGATCCTTCTTTAACTGATGTAGTCAAATCAAAATATTTGAGTCGAGATAACCCTTATTGCTAGTCTGTTTTGTAGGATCAAATCAGATCTAAACTTTAATTATAGTGCTAACCTTTTTCTAGTTTGTTATATATAATTGGGTCGTAAAAGCTGGATATTTGCACTTTTTCAATCATTTATGCTAAAAACCAGCTCCCCGTAATTTTTACAGATTGAGTCAACAACACCAGACAAATTTACACCAAGAATAGTTGAAAGAAAAGAAGACTATATCCGTGTGGAGTATCAAAGCTCAATCTTGGGGGTATGCGTAACTTATATCTAAGGAAACTCCTCATGAAAAAAAAAAATAGTCATTTTATATATTTTAGTTGATATCATCAACCATCTCTAATTTCCTCTTTTTTTTTGTGTCATGTTCTAACAGTTTGTGGATGATGTCGAGTTCTGGTTTCGACCAGGCAAGGGTTATACTGTGGAGTATCGATCTGCATCTCGAGTGGGAAACTTTGATTTTGATCTGAATAGGAAAAGAATAAAGGTATGGTATAAGTCCTTTCTCTATAGTTGCATAAAGAAATTATTGGTTTGCAGGGAAAAACCTTTTTCCCTCATATCATGTCTTGACACTTGTTAAAGTTTTTTATATGATTCACTAAATTTATGTCTAAATGATTTTCTTTCTTTTTGTAAATTAGTCGCACTTTAACTGAAGGTAAATTTAGTTAACTGTGCTTTGGTCAGAAATAAATTGACATTTTTTAGATGGTAGAGAAAAAGAATATTTTTCAGATGGATGCAAATCCTTACCTTAAACATTTTTGTGATGAAAACATCTTGGTTGGTGTCAGGCACTGCGACAAGAGTTGGAGAAGAAAGGATGGGCATCTCAAGACACAATATGATGAATAAACTAAGGCCAAAGTCATATTATCGTCATCATCTAAGAAAACATTATTTCACACCTTGTGACCTTCTATACTTTAGTAATTGAAAAAAATCTCACAAGATCATCAATGAAAGCAATATTTTATTTGATGATTAGAATTGTGGAAATCATTGAAAATAGTACTCCAAACTCTCGGGGAAGGAATGGAACGAAGATGTAGATCCATATCTTCTTGAAGTTCATTAACTTGTCAACTTGTTTACAGTGAATCATTCTTGTTTCAAGAATTTGATTTGTTGTGGAAAGTTTGTCTTTGCTTCTTCTTGTATTAGAAGTGACCTTTGTAGAGTGTGTGAGAAACACCGAATTAATCACAGCATCCTTATTACATAACACACACCTCACAAAAAAAGTCTCTATATTTATCTGTAATTATAGTTGTGTTTTTTATGACCATTTTACAACTCCAATGGTAATGTATTTATACTAGTCTATAGAAGGAATGGAAGCCACGTATTAAATGTAGGTATTATTCTAACTTTGAGCATATAAATATGTAGGCATCTTATCCTTTGGCTTAATTGCAGTTACATATAGTTGAATTTATTCAACAATTCTTCCTCTTTAATTACATATTGAAATTTATCATCTTAGAGCCATTCCAATAATGTCTTTACACAATTTCAGCTTTTCTCGAGTAACTATTTTGGTAAACATGTTTATTGCATTATTATCAATTGTGATCTTCACCAAACTCAACATTTATTGAGCTCGCATATCGTGTATCCATTGATAGTGAACATTGGTGTGTTTTATGTGAGGATGGTATATTGAATTCTTACTTGAGTCTAAAACATTTTTATTTACTACCTGATAGGACCTTAAAGGTCTATTTAAGGACGAAGGGAATTAAAAACAAGACATAATGGTTAGGATGGGGAAGTTAGTTAGGCGGTTTTGGTAGGTGGGTTTGAATTAGGAGCTAGTTATATAAGGGGGAAGAGTGTCTCGGAGGAGACATGTTTGTTGTTTGACAGGAATATTACATCATGTGTGAAGGAAGAATATCTTCCTTAGATGCTACATTTTCTTTGTATCTCAAATATCAATACAGTTTACCATTTGTGTGTTTGTGTGTNTGTGTTACCAGGATTAAAAAAATATGGTTAAATTATTTTCATAAAGTTCTAACCTATTTTCACAACCTATGAAAATCTTGTCGAAATAATGAAAACAACTTATAAAGATATCATAAGTTATTTTAAATACCATGACTTGCAAAAGTACTTATAAGTCTAACAAAGTCTTTTCAAACATGTTGAAAGTTGAAGTATTTTCATTACGTTGTTCTTGAGTCTTCGGGTAAGTATCAAGTGGTGTCAAATTTAGGTATTGAGGAGAATCTGGTAAACCAAATTTAGGAGATAACTTGTGAAGGTTTTTTTATTTATTTTTTGGATTTAGTTCAAAAGGATGTTATGGAATATTTGTGAGAATCAAGTTGCAATAGGAAAGTGCACTTTGAACAATTTATCACAATTTAAACCACCTGAAAATTGTGCAACTGGCGGCTTTGGACTATTGACTGTTAAACAATGTTTACTTGACAGAAGAATTGGATTACTGGTCACACAAATATTGGCCGGTGAAGTTGTACAATCTTTACTTTTACTATTTATTTGACAAAAGAAACTTTTCTCTAGCTTGGTCTTTGTATTATTGAGTATGGACCCACCAAATTCCTAACTTTATTATTGGAGATAGATGAATCATGATGTCACTTTGTTTTAGTTTGTTTCCTTCTTTTTCAGGAACTATAATCCTGAAGGCAGGAAAAATCCTGTGAGCAGAGAGGAAGCCATGGAGGAACTGATAGACGTGGTAAAAAAAATCTAGCTGAACTGAAGCATTGAATTATATCACTGGATTGCAATTGTTCTTTCCCTTCCCTCACTCTGTCAACATTCATTATAATTTATAAAAATTATCAGACTAGGGTTAGTAGTACACTTTGCAACACAGTCTTTCTATTGCAATTTCTTTTCTGTTATTGGTTAAAATTTATTGAAAATTATAGTCACAAAAGAAACTTTAGGAGGGTAACCTACATAATTGGGTGGCTTTTAATAAATTTTTACTAATAATGAAGAGTTATTTAAAAGAGCGTTCAAGATCCTTCTTTAACTGATGTAGTCAAATCAAAATATTTGAGTCGAGATAACCCTTATTGCTAGTCTGTTTTGTAGGATCAAATCAGATCTAAACTTTAATTATAGTGCTAACCTTTTTCTAGTTTGTTATATATAATTGGGTCGTAAAAGCTGGATATTTGCACTTTTTCAATCATTTATGCTAAAAACCAGCTCCCCGTAATTTTTACAGATTGAGTCAACAACACCAGACAAATTTACACCAAGAATAGTTGAAAGAAAAGAAGACTATATCCGTGTGGAGTATCAAAGCTCAATCTTGGGGGTATGCGTAACTTATATCTAAGGAAACTCCTCATGAAAAAAAAAAATAGTCATTTTATATATTTTAGTTGATATCATCAACCATCTCTAATTTCCTCTTTTTTTTTGTGTCATGTTCTAACAGTTTGTGGATGATGTCGAGTTCTGGTTTCGACCAGGCAAGGGTTATACTGTGGAGTATCGATCTGCATCTCGAGTGGGAAACTTTGATTTTGATCTGAATAGGAAAAGAATAAAGGTATGGTATAAGTCCTTTCTCTATAGTTGCATAAAGAAATTATTGGTTTGCAGGGAAAAACCTTTTTCCCTCATATCATGTCTTGACACTTGTTAAAGTTTTTTATATGATTCACTAAATTTATGTCTAAATGATTTTCTTTCTTTTTGTAAATTAGTCGCACTTTAACTGAAGGTAAATTTAGTTAACTGTGCTTTGGTCAGAAATAAATTGACATTTTTTAGATGGTAGAGAAAAAGAATATTTTTCAGATGGATGCAAATCCTTACCTTAAACATTTTTGTGATGAAAACATCTTGGTTGGTGTCAGGCACTGCGACAAGAGTTGGAGAAGAAAGGATGGGCATCTCAAGACACAATATGATGAATAAACTAAGGCCAAAGTCATATTATCGTCATCATCTAAGAAAACATTATTTCACACCTTGTGACCTTCTATACTTTAGTAATTGAAAAAAATCTCACAAGATCATCAATGAAAGCAATATTTTATTTGATGATTAGAATTGTGGAAATCATTGAAAATAGTACTCCAAACTCTCGGGGAAGAAATGGAACGAAGATGTAGATCCATATCTTCTTGAAGTTCATTAACTTGTCAACTTGTTTACAGTGAATCATTCTTGTTTCAAGAATTTGATTTGTTGTGGAAAGTTTGTCTTTGCTTCTTCTTGTATTAGAAGTGACCTTTGTAGAGTGTGTGAGAAACACCGAATTAATCACAGCATCCTTATTACATAACACACACCTCACAAAAAAAGTCTCTATATTTATCTGTAATTATAGTTGTGTTTTTTATGACCATTTTACAACTCCAATGGTAATGTATTTATACTAGTCTATAGAAGGAATGGAAGCCACGTATTAAATGTAGGTATTATTCTAACTTTGAGCATATAAATATGTAGGCATCTTATCCTTTGGCTTAATTGCAGTTACATATAGTTGAATTTATTCAACAATTCTTCCTCTTTAATTACATATTGAAATTTATCATCTTAGAGCCATTCCAATAATGTCTTTACACAATTTCAGCTTTTCTCGAGTAACTATTTTGGTAAACATGTTTATTGCATTATTATCAATTGTGATCTTCACCAAACTCAACATTTATTGAGCTCGCATATCGTGTATCCATTGATAGTGAACATTGGTGTGTTTTATGTGAGGATGGTATATTGAATTCTTACTTGAGTCTAAAACATTTTTATTTACTACCTGATAGGACCTTAAAGGTCTATTTAAGGACGAAGGGAATTAAAAACAAGACATAATGGTTAGGATGGGGAAGTTAGTTAGGCGGTTTTGGTAGGTGGGTTTGAATTAGGAGCTAGTTATATAAGGGGGAAGAGTGTCTCGGAGGAGACATGTTTGTTGTTTGACAGGAATATTACATCATGTGTGAAGGAAGAATATCTTCCTTAGATGCTACATTTTCTTTGTATCTCAAATATCAATACGATTTACCATTTGTGTGTTTGTGTGTTTGTGTGTGCGTTGTGTGGTAACATGAAGGTGTCCTAGGTTTCTTGCTACCAAGAAACTTATCAACTGGTCTAACCTATCAAATCTCTAAAAGGAGAGAGTTATGCGAAGGAGAATTAGCTCACTAGAAACATTGGTCAGCGAACAAGGAAGAGCCTTGGAAGATCTACGGGAGGAGACTAGAGAAAGTCATCAAGAATTCAAGTATATGATCAAAGTTCTTATGAAGAAAACAAAGAACACAAATAGGAGCTTGGAAGGTAGTTAGAGGTTGGTTAATGGGAAAGAATGGGTAGGAAGGACAAGATGGAGAAGGTGATGCAGGAAGAGAAAGGGGAAATACAGAAAGGTTGGATGAAAATAGTAAAGTTACCTACTTTTGAAAGGGGAGACCCAGTATGATGGATATCTACAACTGAGAAGTTTTTTTCAAGTATTGGAAAAAAAAGACTAAGAATCCTTCTTGGGAAGAATTAACGGAAGCCTTAACTAGAAGATTTAGAGCAAAGGATAGATGCTCTATGTTTAAAAAATTGTCAACAACGAGGTAGAGAAGGCCAATGGAAGAATATATACAAGAATTTGAGATGTTGGTGGCACAGACTACAGAGTTAACAGAGGAACAACTATTGGGGTACTTCTTTATTGGTTTGCATGNTTCAACACGTGGTTCACACCTCATTCTCAAATATTTAACATCACATTCTTCAACGTTCATAAACAGTCCAAGTTCTTTAATTTTCTCACACCTTCATTTTCACCTCCCGACAACAATGGCTTCATTGACTCCTGCAAGCTCTTTCTGTAGCTACCGCAAGTTTCCCTCCAAAGCCAACAATGGTAGAAGCAGCTTTTCCTCTTTCCCTCGCATTATGTTCTGTCAGAAGCACCACGATGATGTTCCCACCGACCAAATCCACCGAAGGTTCTTCACTCTCTCGCTTTTCTTACTCTTTTCTTTTGATTGGTCATAACCATCTTATGAAATTTATTCACATTCAATTTTGCTTTTCTATATTGAAGAGAAATCATTTTGAGAAGCAGTGAAATGGCGACCATTGGTGCTATCTTCAACTTCAGGTACCTCTCCTCTGTTTTGGGAGAAGTTTCAATTTTTTTAATGTAAATTTAATCCAGGATTTGATTTTGTTAATGGGTGTTGAGACCCTTTTGGTTTTCAGTTTTGGTTTTGCTTTATGCTGGAAATGGGTGGTCGTTAAAAAGTAGAATTTGGTATGGGTTGTGTGTTTTGGTGGCGGTCTCTATCAGATATCTATATGTTCTTCTGTTCAGTTAGTTGTTTACTGATTTGTTTCTTATGCTGTTGTTGTGTTTTAGTGTCCCTCCTCTGTGTATATAAGTCCTCTGCTGGACTGAGTTTTTATCAAGTCTTATTTAATCAAATAAAACTGTTTTCTTCTTCTTTCATGATGGTTGTATGGAATCAGCAGAAATCGTCCTTCTCCTTCTGTGATTAACACTCTGATTTGGTTTATCTAAAACAGTGGCAAAAAACCTGATTATCTTGGAGTGCAGAAAAACCCACCAGCATTAGCTCTGTGTCCAGCAACTAAGAATTGTGTATCAACCTCTGAGAATATCAGTGATCGCACACATTATGCTCCTCCTTGGTAAAACTCCTCTTTTCCTCATTTTAATTTTAGTTTTGGTTTTATGGGATTCTATGAATAAGTGAAGTAAATGCAATGTTTTATTTGTTTACTGATTATGTTCTCATAACGAGAGTAATTATTTATGTATGTGTTACCAGGATTAAAAAAATATGGTTAAATTATTTTCATAAAGTTCTAACCTATTTTCACAACCTATGAAAATCTTGTCGAAATAATGAAAACAACTTATAAAGATATCATAAGTTATTTTAAATACCATGACTTGCAAAAGTACTTATAAGTCTAACAAAGTCTTTTCAAACATGTTGAAAGTTGAAGTATTTTCATTACGTTGTTCTTGAGTCTTCGGGTAAGTATCAAGTGGTGTCAAATTTAGGTATTGAGGAGAATCTGGTAAACCAAATTTAGGAGATAACTTGTGAAGGTTTTTTTATTTATTTTTTGGATTTAGTTCAAAAGGATGTTATGGAATATTTGTGAGAATCAAGTTGCAATAGGAAAGTGCACTTTGAACAATTTATCACAATTTAAACCACCTGAAAATTGTGCAACTGGCGGCTTTGGACTATTGACTGTTAAACAATGTTTACTTGACAGAAGAATTGGATTACTGGTCACACAAATATTGGCCGGTGAAGTTGTACAATCTTTACTTTTACTATTTATTTGACAAAAGAAACTTTTCTCTAGCTTGGTCTTTGTATTATTGAGTATGGACCCACCAAATTCCTAACTTTATTATTGGAGATAGATGAATCATGATGTCACTTTGTTTTAGTTTGTTTCCTTCTTTTTCAGGAACTATAATCCTGAAGGCAGGAAAAATCCTGTGAGCAGAGAGGAAGCCATGGAGGAACTGATAGACGTGGTAAAAAAAATCTAGCTGAACTGAAGCATTGAATTATATCACTGGATTGCAATTGTTCTTTCCCTTCCCTCACTCTGTCAACATTCATTATAATTTATAAAAATTATCAGACTAGGGTTAGTAGTACACTTTGCAACACAGTCTTTCTATTGCAATTTCTTTTCTGTTATTGGTTAAAATTTATTGAAAATTATAGTCACAAAAGAAACTTTAGGAGGGTAACCTACATAATTGGGTGGCTTTTAATAAATTTTTACTAATAATGAAGAGTTATTTAAAAGAGCGTTCAAGATCCTTCTTTAACTGATGTAGTCAAATCAAAATATTTGAGTCGAGATAACCCTTATTGCTAGTCTGTTTTGTAGGATCAAATCAGATCTAAACTTTAATTATAGTGCTAACCTTTTTCTAGTTTGTTATATATAATTGGGTCGTAAAAGCTGGATATTTGCACTTTTTCAATCATTTATGCTAAAAACCAGCTCCCCGTAATTTTTACAGATTGAGTCAACAACACCAGACAAATTTACACCAAGAATAGTTGAAAGAAAAGAAGACTATATCCGTGTGGAGTATCAAAGCTCAATCTTGGGGGTATGCGTAACTTATATCTAAGGAAACTCCTCATGAAAAAAAAAAATAGTCATTTTATATATTTTAGTTGATATCATCAACCATCTCTAATTTCCTCTTTTTTTTTGTGTCATGTTCTAACAGTTTGTGGATGATGTCGAGTTCTGGTTTCGACCAGGCAAGGGTTATACTGTGGAGTATCGATCTGCATCTCGAGTGGGAAACTTTGATTTTGATCTGAATAGGAAAAGAATAAAGGTATGGTATAAGTCCTTTCTCTATAGTTGCATAAAGAAATTATTGGTTTGCAGGGAAAAACCTTTTTCCCTCATATCATGTCTTGACACTTGTTAAAGTTTTTTATATGATTCACTAAATTTATGTCTAAATGATTTTCTTTCTTTTTGTAAATTAGTCGCACTTTAACTGAAGGTAAATTTAGTTAACTGTGCTTTGGTCAGAAATAAATTGACATTTTTTAGATGGTAGAGAAAAAGAATATTTTTCAGATGGATGCAAATCCTTACCTTAAACATTTTTGTGATGAAAACATCTTGGTTGGTGTCAGGCACTGCGACAAGAGTTGGAGAAGAAAGGATGGGCATCTCAAGACACAATATGATGAATAAACTAAGGCCAAAGTCATATTATCGTCATCATCTAAGAAAACATTATTTCACACCTTGTGACCTTCTATACTTTAGTAATTGAAAAAAATCTCACAAGATCATCAATGAAAGCAATATTTTATTTGATGATTAGAATTGTGGAAATCATTGAAAATAGTACTCCAAACTCTCGGGGAAGGAATGGAACGAAGATGTAGATCCATATCTTCTTGAAGTTCATTAACTTGTCAACTTGTTTACAGTGAATCATTCTTGTTTCAAGAATTTGATTTGTTGTGGAAAGTTTGTCTTTGCTTCTTCTTGTATTAGAAGTGACCTTTGTAGAGTGTGTGAGAAACACCGAATTAATCACAGCATCCTTATTACATAACACACACCTCACAAAAAAAGTCTCTATATTTATCTGTAATTATAGTTGTGTTTTTTATGACCATTTTACAACTCCAATGGTAATGTATTTATACTAGTCTATAGAAGGAATGGAAGCCACGTATTAAATGTAGGTATTATTCTAACTTTGAGCATATAAATATGTAGGCATCTTATCCTTTGGCTTAATTGCAGTTACATATAGTTGAATTTATTCAACAATTCTTCCTCTTTAATTACATATTGAAATTTATCATCTTAGAGCCATTCCAATAATGTCTTTACACAATTTCAGCTTTTCTCGAGTAACTATTTTGGTAAACATGTTTATTGCATTATTATCAATTGTGATCTTCACCAAACTCAACATTTATTGAGCTCGCATATCGTGTA